ACTCTGTTTATTATTTTCTTTACTGTACAGAAGCTTTTTAGCTTGATGTAGTCCCAATTATTTATTTTTGTTTTTGTTGCCTATGATTTTCGTGTCATAGCTATGAAATCTTGCCAAAACCAATGTTGTGAAACTTTATGTTTTGTTTTAGGAGTTTAACAATTACAGGTCTCCCATTTAAATCTTTATTTCACGTTGAATTGATTTTTGTTTATGGTGTAAGAAAAGGGTCCAAATTCATTCTTTTAAATGTGGTTCTCTATGATCTCCAACATCATTTGTGGAAGAGATTATCATTTTCCCATTGTGTATTATTGGCAACCTTGTCAAAGATCACTTGATTATATATGTGTGGATTTATTTTTGGGCTTTCTATTTTGTTCCATTGGTCTACATGTTCTCTTCATGCCAGTCCCACACTGTTGTGAATTGTGTAGCTTTGTAATATGTTCTAAAATCAGGAACTATGATGCATCCAGCTTTGTTCTTCTTTCTTAGGATTGCTGTGGCTATTTGAGGTCTTTTGTGGTTGTATATGAATTGTAGAATTGCTTTTTCTATTTTTGTAAAAAATACTATCAGAATTTTGATAGAGATGACATTGAATCTGTAGATCACTTTGTTTTGTAAGAATATTTTAACAATATTAATTTTTCCAATCCTTGAACATAGGATGTTTTTGCATTTGTGTCTTTTTTACTTTCTTTTATCAATATTTTGTAGGTTCCAGTATTCAAGTCTTTCACCTCCTTGGTTAACTGTATTCTTTTTGATGCTATTATAATTGGGATTGTTTTTTTAATTTCATTTTCAGGTAATTTATTGTTAGTGCATGGAAATGCAACTGATTTTTAATGTTGCTTTTGTATTCTGAGACTTAATTCTTGTATTTGTTATATATGTTTTTTTTACTGTTTTCTTTTGAATTTTATTTATTTTTTTGTACAACAGGTTCCTATTACTTATCTATTTTATACATATTAGTGTATATATGTCAATCCCAATCTCCCGGTTCATCCCACCACCACCACCACCACCACCCGCTTTCCTCCCTTGGAGTCCATACATTTATTCTCTACATCTGTATCTCTATTTCTACTTTGCAGACTGGTTCATCTGTACCATTTTTCTAGATTCCACATATATACATTAATATACAATATTTGTTTTTCCCTTTCTGACTTACTTCACTCTGTATGACAGTCTCTAAGCCCATCCACATCTCTACAAATGACTTAATTTCGTTCCTTTTTATGACTGAGTAATATTCCATCGTATATATTACCACATTTTCTTTATCCATTCCTCTGTTGATGGACATTTAGGTTGCTTCCATGACCTGGCTATTGTAAATAGTGCTGCAATGAACATTGGGTTGCATGTGTCTTTTTGAATTATGGTTTTCTCTGGGTATATGCCCAATAGTGGGATTGCTGGGTCATATGGTAATTCTATTTTTAGTTTTTTTTTGTTTTTGTTTTTTTTGCAGTATGCAGGCCTCTCACTGTTGTGGCCTCTCCCGTTGCGGAACACAGGCTCCGGATGTGCAGGCTCAGCAGCCATGGCTCACGGGCACAGATGCTCTGCGGCATGTGGGATCTTCCTGGACTGGGGCATGAACCCGTGTCCCCTGCATCGGCAGGCGGACTCCCAACCACTGCACCACCAGGGAAGCCCTATTTTTAGTTTTTTAAGGAACCTCCGTACTGTTCTCCATAGTGGCTGTATCAATTTACATTCCCACCAACAGTGCAAGAGGGTTCCCTTTTCTGCACACACTCTCCAGCATTTGTTGTTTGTAGATGTTTTGATGATGACCTTTCTAACTGGTGTGAGGTGATACCTCATTGTAGTTTTGATTTGCATTTCTCTAATAATTAGTGATGTTGAGCAGCTTTTCATGTGCCTCTTGGCCATCTGTATGTCTTCTTTGGAGAAATGTTGATTTAGGTCTTCTGCCCATTTTTGATTGGGTTGTTTGGGTTTTTTTTAATATTGAGCTGCAAGAGCTGCTCAATTTGGAGATTAATCCATTGTCTGTTGATTCATTTGCAAATATTTTCTCCCATTCTGAGGGTTGTCTTTTCGTCTTGTTTATAGTTTCCTTTGCTGTGCAAAAGCTTTTAAGTTCCATTAAGTCCCATTTGTTTATTTGTGTTTTTATTTCCATTTCTCTAGGAGGAAGGTCAAAAAGGATCTTGCTGTGATTTATGTCACAGAGTGTTCTTCCTGTTTTCCTCTAAGAGTTTTATAGTTTCTGGTCTTACATTTAGGTCTTTAATCCATTTTGAGTTTATTTTTGTGTATGGTGTTAGGGAGTGTTCTAATTTCATTCTTTAAAATGTAGCTGTCCAGTTTTCCCAGCACCACTTATTGAAGAGACTGTCTTTTCTCCTTTGTATATTCTAGCCTAATTGTCATAGATTAGGTGACCATAGGTGCGTGGGTTTTTCTCTGGGCTTTCTATCCTGTTCCATTGATCAGTATTTCTGTTTTTGTGCCATATTGTCTTGATTACTGTAACTTTGTAGTATAGTCTGAAATCAGGGAGTCTGATTCCTCCAGCTCTGTTTTTTTCCCTCAAGATTGCTTTGGCTACTCAGGGTCTTTTGTGTCTCCATACAAATTTAAAAATTATTTGTACTAGTTCTGTAAAAAATGCCATTGGTAATTTGATCTATCCGGTTTTTTTAAATTGAGTCTTTAGGGAATTATGTATATAAGATCATTTCATTTGCCAACAGGGACAATTCTACTTCTTCCTTCCCATTTTGGATGCTGTTTATTTCTTTTGCTTGACTAATTGCTCTGAACAGGACTTCTAGTACTATGTTGAGTAGATACGGTGAGAGTGGGTATTCTTGCCTTATTCCTGGGTGTGTGGATAAGTGGGATCTGAGGGCAAGATGGAAGAAAGAGGAGAAACTTTGAATCAAATTTGAAAGGGATATTTTAAAATTTATATCAAGATGAATTTTATTTTATTTTGAAAAAAGGACTATTCATTAATCTGAAAGTGACTAATTAACTAATGACAGGAAAGAATGACCCAATAAAGTAATTTAGAGGAACATATTATTGAAAAAATAAAGTTGGTTTTTGCTTACACAGAACTAGGTACAAAATATTAACCATTTAAAAAGAACAATATATAATTTAAGGAGTGAAAATAAGATACAGCTTAAATTCAAACAAAATTATATGTTAGATGTTATGTGTGTTACAGTGGTATATTTGTTTTATACTCCTTTTAAGGTTTTTTTAAGTATGACTGTTGAAAGATAAGAGTAACCTAAGAAATGTTAACAAACTAAAGTGTATGACTTACAAAACAATAGAGGAAAAGTTAAAAAGAATATTGACATATCATGGTAAAAAAAGTGAGTGTTTTATGTGATGTACATGACAATACGGTTGAGTTTTTATTATTCCTAATAATAAAAACTCTGGTTCTCCAGAGATCTACCTAGAAGAGTCAGTTGACACTAACATGGACGGAAATTGCTCATATTATGAGACTGTAATCTCCAAAGTGGAAGATAGACAACTCTCATTCCCAGACTCTCCATTGGGGAAGCATGTGGTTTATATTCTGTCAAGCAGACACACCTTTGTGAGACTGAGATGGAAATGTGAGCAGCCCAAAATGCAACTTTTCATGGGGAGTTTGTTTACTGCAGATATGAAGTTGGAGGCATCCATATACTCAGAGCCGACATTGGTGGAGCTTCTGTCATGTGATCTGAGACTATTATGCCAGGTGGTAATGGATGTGCTGTTTTCTCTTGAGATACCTTCACTGTGTGGTTGGTATTATTTTTGGTGAAACAGCAGTAGAGTTTGGCTCTCTTGCCATCCTGGAGAATCTGTTTACTACCTACCAAACTTAAAAATCAATTTCCTTTCTGTTTAAGTTACTGAGAAGATTCTGTTGGTTGCAATATGAACCTTAAGTGATACATATCCTGAAACAATTGTGGTAGGTTAATATTTTTGTATTAATGACTTGTTTTTTTATTTTTCCTCTGTTTCTTGTCCTTCCATGCTAGACATTTACCCTGAGTGGCTCCCAGGGTGTGATGTCACAGCAGAGGGGAAGAAAGAAAAATGGGGTCAAGTTTTAGGTTTTGAAGGATTATAGTTATGATTCTTAGGGGAATGGAAAGGAATGTATTTTGAGCTAAAGTTCCCTTTTTTTGATTGTAAAAGTTATTCTTGGATCTATGGAGGGAGGGAACTAAGAAAAAGAGAGAAGAGAGAGATGTTGGGTGGCCTAGAAATGAGACAGTAATTATCTAGAGGGATTTTATAGACAGAGAAGTTGAACATCCACTCATAAATCTATTTTGCACAGGCGTAAGCACTTCCCTTAATAGTGTCCAGGAGTCCTATCAGTGACCACAGCAATGCAGAGCCTCCACCCAATGGAGAACTGTACACCATCTGCACCCTGACGTTAATTGTCCCAGATCTCCCTTACTGGAAGCCATCATGTGACCCAATGACCACTTGGCTATGCTCCACGGCTTTGTTCTCTCCCATCAGATTTTTCCTGTGTACACAGCACTCCAACTCTATCCCAGGACCAAAATAAACTGTTGAGTAAGAGCATGATGCTGAGGATATCCAGAGGGGTGGTGTATGTGTGGGGAAAAAGTCTACCCTGAACAGAACACATCTGATATTTCTAAATTGGATATAAATGTATCCCTATTACATAATTAAAAGTCTCTCTAGAGCCAATATGCATGATTTCAAATATAGGTTCTAGTGAGGGATCATACTAATTATTTGTACTATATTTAAGCATGAATTGAATCACTGTAGGTAAAACACTGCCTTCACACTTTACTTCATCTTTGCAAACTTTACACCTCAATGAAAATAAATCTTATAATTTCAAGTTTAGTTTAGTGGCAATTGTTTGACGTCTTGAAGTTGCTCATTCAACTTGCTCTTAACAGATGGGAGCTGGTTAGGAAATTACGTTCCTTAGATTTTTAGAGTATGTTACACCTTGGGAATGATTCCCTGTATCTCATCTGGATAGCATTCATCTCTTTAAGAAGTTTCTTGCTCTCCTTTTGGAATCCCTCCAGGAGAAGTCATTCCTGTTCCTAAAAGGGAAAGTGGAGACTGAACTCACACAACTTAAAACATTTCTCACACTTGCTAAATTATACCTATATTAATCCCTTAGGGGTTTTGAAACTTGTTTTTGAAATCTTTTCCTCCCTTAATTTCCATTATATCACTGTTTCTTGGGTCTCCTATGCCTGTCAAAATTTTTCTGAGCTTTCTTTAGCTGAAGAATTGTTCTCATAGTTTCTAAAATATTAGTGACCCAGAATTTTTTTTTTTTTTTGGCTTCCTTTACCCTGATGCAATGCAGTCTTTCAGGAAAAACTGTCTTTTTCCACTTCAACTCTAATTTATGTAGTGTGGACTCCCAAATACTTATCTAAGAAGGAAGAAAGATGGACGAACAGCATTTTTTTTTTTTTTCGTACGCGGGCCTCTCACTGTTGTGGCCTCTCCCATTGTGGAGCACAGGCTCCGGACGCGCAGGCTCAGCGGCCATGGCTCACGGGCCCAGCCACTCCGCGGCATGTGGGAACTTCCCAGACCGGGGCACGAACCCGTGTTCCCTGCATCGGCAGGCGGACTCTCAACCACTGCGCCACCCGGGAAGCCCCACAGCAGAGTTTTGATCATGGAATTTATTACAAGTCTCCAAAATTTGGTGGCAGAGGTAACAGAAATAAGCTGAGAAGATCAAACCTGCACTGGTCGATACTGTATTGCTGCGTAGACATCCTGACTCTGCATAGACTTGGAGTAGGGCCTGGAGAACAGGAAGGTACTGGCAGCCTAGGTATTTAATTCTGTGGTTAATTGTGTAGACGGTCATGAAGTCTTCCTACTCATTAGGGCACTTCCAGACATAAAGTTATATCTCTGAAATGACCATTTCCTCTTTTGAAAAATGACAATATAATGGTACCCATAACATAATGTACGGATTTGCTCACAGAATATCTGTAAAGCCACTGTGCAGTGCCTGGCAATGAATAGCTATGGTTTATTAGTGATTTAATAATGAAGGATTCTATGAGATTTTATCCTGCAAGTAGATAGCCTTTAGTAACCAGAGATGGTCAGGGGTAGAAGCAATAAGAGAATGAAATGCCTACTAGTGTTCGGGCTAGAAAAGTCCTTCAACTGACCTAACACTCTAAATTCTAAGCAGTGTTTTTTATTCAGCACAACGGTAGAAAGAATGGAGATGACACAATTGGATACCTGAAGTTTAGGGCTAGAACCCTCTCTTGCTCTGCCATTAACTGGGCCCTCTCCTTTTCCATCTTCTCAGTCAGTTCTTTCACATGTCCCTGATAACTGTTTTCTCTCTCTTGCATCATCTGGTCATTCTTCTTTTGCATTTCCTCCAACATTTTGTTTGCAGCTTCTGCAATTTTAGACTTTATACATTCCACGTTAGAAGAAAAATAAGCGGAGAAATATGAGGATCTTAATTTATTGTTATAGCTTTATTTTTACTTTCACCCTTTTTGCTTGTTTGCTTATTTCATGAAGAAAACTTCTTGTGGTCATTTTTGCACTGAGGAATCAGAGGAAAGATTGACATAAATATTAGTTAAGAAAAGAATCCCCTAAAACTATGAACTATACTTGCTATTTTTTGCTCTATAGTAATATTCCAGGTGGACTAATGTGGCTAACATTAACATTTCTAGCACTTTCCAACTATGTAGAGGGTTTTCAGTTATTCTCACCTTCAATCTTTTTCTTTTTCCGTAAGTGACTGATCAGTATGTTGAAGTGCATCAGCCACACCTTCCTTGGAATCCAAAGATTTCTTCAGTGTCTCTTCTGCTTATTGATGCAGAAGTTAGAATTAGGAAATAGAGACTATGGGTTAAAGTAAAACCTAGCAGTACATCTCTTAATTCAACTTCATTTTACCACCCATTTTAAAATTTAAATACCTTTTCAAACTAAGCTTTCTTAAAACCCAACTCCGGATCCACCTTCAAACTTGCTTCATTCTCAGTCACCCCAATTTTAGTAATTTAATTAGCAAATCTTGTCTTCTAATTGTATGAGTTAAAAACCTTATGGTTATCCTTTATGTTTTTGTTTTTTTTTTTCCCTCACAAATCCCAGGTACCATCATCAGTTAATGATGTTTGCTCTGACTTCAAAATAAAACCAGCCAGGGCCCATCGATTGTCACCTTCTCCTCCCGACACCCTGGTCCAAGACATCATCACTTCTTGCCTGGACCATGACATTAGCTTCATAATTTGTGTCCCTACTTCCTTCCACTCTTGCTCCCCTATAGCCTGTTTTCCTCAAGGCAGCTAGTGTTGTGTTATATTACTTTAAGAAAGATCACTTCACTTTGATGCACCAAATCCTCTGCTGATTTTCCAACTCCTTCCAAGTAAAATTGAAACTTCTCTCAGTGGCCTCCAGGATACTACTTTGTTTAGCACCTGGCCTCTGAGCATCTCTCTGACCTCACCTCCTGCCACCTCTTCCTTTGCTCACTGCCTTCTTAATGCATTTCCTGCCATTCCTAGAACATCAACCAATTTATCCTTCTGGGTGTTTCTGTTGTTTGAAATTTTCATCCTCTAGATGCCCACTTGGCTCACTCCCTGACTCCTTTGAAGATTCTGCTGAAACAGTACCCCACGATAGAGGCCTTCTCTAAAAACCTACATATAAAATAGTACCACATATCCTTCCCCTCCCATGCCTGTAGTCTACTTTGTGTTTCTTCAGGGCACTTTTTTCACTGTGATAGTGACTTCTAGAGTCACTCTAGTATTATTCTCTCCTTTGCCTTATTAACAGGACGCTTAATTTTTTCCACCAGGGCACATTGTGGGCCTTGATAAAATGTTGCACTTTCTAGTCAACCTCCCGGTAGCTGAAGTGACTGTATGATTAAAATATAGCTAATACCACTTATGTGGAATGTTATATAGTACCTTTTGCAGATCGCCTTAAAGAGAGTTGACCCAGAGACTTTTAACTCTTCTGTTTTTCCCTTTTCTTTCCATCTGTAATATGGAAGTACTGGGTGAAACTCCAGTAGCCATCTTAGACCATAAGTTGACCTTGAAGGTGGAGGCTGGGTGCTAAGGTGTTGGAGCAGAGCAAAGAAGGGGCCTGGGAACAGGGTGATTGTGGAGTTGTCATAGCAGCATGGACTCCCTCTGCCGTACTTCTTGTATATAAAACAGAAAGAAAATTTTGTCCTTTTTAAGCCACTCTTGTCTTGTTTTATTTTATTTTTAAATAATATGTACCCAAACCTAATTCTAACTGATATAACCTGAGTATACCAGCACAGAAGTATAGTTAAGAGCAGAGAGTCTGCTACAAGTATTTCTATTCCAGCTGTACCACTTATTACCTGTACATTTTAGATGAGTTATTTTACTTCCCTGTGCCTCAATTTTCTTATTTATAAAATGAGGACATTAATAACATGTACTTCATAGGGGTGTTATGAGGATTGAACGAGTTAAGCCCATTTGTTTCCTGAAGCAAAATAAGGTCTATATGTGTTAACTCTTATAATTATTAGTTTTTTCTGTAAGCTATAATTTGTTGATTGCTGGTACTTTGAAAGAACTTGTTTTCTTTTAATTGCACTAACCACAGAAATTTGACAAGGTCTAGCATATAGTCAGGACTAAGTAGATAATTGTTCGATGATTGAATGACTACATTATTGAAGAAATTCTACAAACATTTTGGGGGGGCTCCATCTGTGCTTCCAAGAAGGAATCTGTTATTCATCCCATGGTAGTCTCTCCTATTGGATAAATCAGTGAATTGATCAATGAAAAGCGCAGGCACTGTTTGCCAATCACATTTTGGTTGATTCCACTGTAGTTTGAAAGTGTCACCTCAGCAAGTCCCCAGAAATGGTACTCAGTAGGTAGTTTACCTGTATCCCCTTTCGGGGGGGCTGGTAGTAGTTATCCTTTAGCTCCTCCTTCTTCCAAATACAGATGATAACCTCCTGGTTTAGAAAATATTCCTTGCTTCACATCTTCATATACAGGGCCAAAAATATCCTGAATTAAAGCCATGCAATAAACTGAGGATGCTTTCATGTTCTGCTTACAAAAGTCATCTCACTTTGCTTCTAACCCTTCCTGTGAAGTGAAAAAATAGTACAGAAGGTACAGTAAGCCATTATGAGGTTGTTAACCACACACAGATTACTGGGAAATGCTTCTTCTGCAGAGAATGTGGCATATAAACATTACACACCTCTCACCATGCTGGGAGATTCTAGAATACCCCTAAATAGAGCGCTGGTTTAAAAAAATACATCTACTTCTCTTTGTGATTATCTGAAGCTTTTTCCCCATGCTTTTTTAGCTTCAGAGAATGATTCTCAAAGCATAGACGCTTTTCCATATAGAAACTTCTCTTTTCAAGTCCCTAATTCAGGAATAGTTTACCACACAAATGTTCAGTAAGACAGGCTTGCAGGGAGTTCCTGGTTCCACCACTTCGTGACTTAGTGACATTCAACTTTCATGAAATGAGGTTTCGTTTTTGTAAAACACAGGAAATTTTATCTATGTCATAGATTCCACGTCAGGATTATATGCAGTGGTGCAAAGTATTAAACCAGTGACTTTTTCATGAGTGCTCAAAAGGGTCAATGATTAGTGGTACATTCTTTAAAATGATAATACTTTTGCATATTTTCTCAATACAAGGCTAACGAAGGTAATGGAGATTGTACTGCAGGTATTTTCTGTATGGAGAAAGCCTAACAAACAGCATTTTTACCTACATCAAATTATTGAAGAGAACTTGTATATCAAGTGTTTCTTTAGTCTAGAAAGATGTCCATTGTCTGCTGACCTTCACTATTTAGTTTCATCAGAACCCCTGAAAGCAGGAAGATGTAATTTGAAAACTCCTGCCCTGCAAGCCAGAGAAGGGATTGTCACCTGTCAAGTGATTATTTGTCATACAACAACCCTTCCTTAACTTGGAAGGACTCAGACTTGAGTCCTCAAATAGCATTCTTATAATTGATTTCTCTTCCCTGTCTTTCTGAATATTTTACTGTTGCTTTACATTAAACACAATACGTTTTTAGGGTTTTCACAAAGAAGTGAATCCTCCTGGATAATTAGCAGGGAACACGAAAGCACTGTGTCTTTGACTAACTTTAAATGAAAAAATAAATTAAAATAATCTTATGTAAATACAATTTTGCAGTTTACTTTTTGCTTAAAATATGGCATCCATAGGGTGGAAATTAACAGAAGAGAATATCTGTAATAACCATAGTTGGTCATGGTACCATAGTCTCTAGGACTAAGTCTAAGGGAAGTCTATTCTTTCAGTAAAGATTGCAAATGAGTTCACATAACTGAGGTCTGCTGTCTTTGGGAGGACTACTTATATCAAGAAAGGCCCAGATTTTTCTGCCTCTCATTAACCAGAATAGCAAATATACCCCTAATTTTTTCTGTAACACTCGGTCCACATCCTTGAAAGAGTTCTTCAAGACTTCAGTGGCCTCTTTCTCACTGGCCCTGTGCAGGTCCAGAAGCTCCTGGAGGGTTTCCGTGGGCAGCTGCACCTTCTGGCCCATCCACTGGTCATAGTGGGCAATGACCTTTTGCACTGCGGCTGAGTTCTCGATCTTGGCCAAGGCCAAGACTGCATTCTCCATGCAGGGCAGATCCCCATTACTGATGGCATTGATGTAGGTCAGCACCAGGCTCTCTAGACCTACAAAAGAGAATTTTAAAAAATAGTGACTATTAGTTGGTGAGAGAGAGAGGAACAACTGTATTTCATTTAGTCCTGAGCATATAAATTTTATTATTTTGTATCAACGGCTAGAGTATTTTTTTAATGTTTTTCAAGTGTCACAAACAATAGTTTTAAGGATTTTTTGAGAAGAATAGTGATGGAATATTTTGTTAACCTCTAGTTTTAGAGGAGTTTAAATCTTCCCTTTCCTCCTCCTTCCCTCACCCAAATGGAAGATGTTGGAATGAATGGGTTAGAGTAAGGATATTTTGGGGACAAGATAGTAAGTCTTGATCTTTTCTTAGCCTTACTGTATCTCCCTTTTATATACTGTACTGTATCTCCCTTCTAATATATAAAAAAGGTCAAGGAGACAATTTAGCATACACAAGCATTTGTGTGTGTGAGTGTAGCGGTACACGTGGTACAGGCCACTAGTCCTGGGTCTGGCCTAAATAAAAGGATCTTTCTAGATAGTCTCTCATCCAAGCTCCATGCAGTATGATCAATTCATCCACATTTGCCAGGGATTTATGGTTTTAGCATTGAAAATCTCATATACCAGGAAATGCCAGCCTCGGGCAAACTGGAGTTGTTGATCACCCTACAACTACCAGTTTTTGGTTACAATAATGTATCACCTCACACTGGTCAGAATGGCCATCATCAAAAAGTCTACAAGTAACAAATGTTGGAGATGGTGCGGAGAAAAGGGGATCCTTCTACATTGCTGGTGGGAATGTAAATTGGTGCAACCACTATGGAGAACAGTATGGAGGTTCCTTAAAAAACTAAAAATAGAGTTATTTTATGATCCTGCAATACTACTTCTGGGTGTATATCCAGAGAAAACTGTAATTCAAAAAGATACATGCACCCCAATATTCATAGTAGCACTATTTACAATAGCCAAGACATGGAAGCAACCTAAATGTCCATTAACAGATGAATGGATAAAGAAGATGTGGTACATATATACAATGAAATATTACTCAGCAATAAAAATGAAATAATGCCATTTGCAGCAACATGGATGGACTGAGAGGTTATCATATTAAGTGAGGTAAGTCAGACAGAGAAAGACAAATATCATATGATATCACTTATATGATGAATCTTAAAAAATGATACAAATGAACTTATTTACAAAACAGAAATAGACTCACAGACAGAGAAAACAAACTTATGGTTACCAAAGGGGAAGGGAGAGGAGGAATGAATTAGGAATTTGGGATAAACAGATACACAGTACTACATTTAAAGTTGATAAACAACAAGGACCTACTGTACAGCACAGGGAACTGTATTCAATGTCTTAAAATAACTTATAATGGAAAAGGATCTGAAAAAGTATATATATATATATATATATATATATATATATATATATATATATATCAGTATCACACTTATATGCATATATGTATATATCTATATATGATATAACTGAATGTACACCTGAAACATTGTAAATCAACTGTTCTTCTATTAAAAAAAGACAACTAGCAGTTTTTGGGCACTCAGTCCTGGGCCTTCTCTTTCTATAGTTTTAAGTAGTGCCATCTATATTTTTATTTCCTGCTTTGAGTTGATTTTTAAGCTTTCGATTTGTGTATTGAAATATCTGGATGATACTCCTTCTTGTATACATCAGAGAAAAATCAATACTAAATGATCCAAATCTAAACAACTTCACCAACTCTGGAATACTATTCTTCCTCCAGGTATTTCTTTTAGTAAATGACATCTGTTCAAGCAGTTGCTTAAGCTCAGAACTCTGGAGTCGGACTTGACACTTCCTTATCATTCCTTCCACACACCACGCCCATATGCCCTCCATTATCAAGGTTTATGGATTTGACATTCAAAATATGTGTGGATTCTGTCCATGTTGACAATCTCAATTGCCGCTGTCTTAGCCTAGCATAATCCCTATTTATTATTAAAATATTGCAGTATCATTCATCTTCTCATTGCTTCATGTACATCCCTCCAACATGGTATCTACAAAATACTCAGAAGGATTTTTTTAAGTATAAACGTAACCAATCCTTTTAGGTATGGTTCCCTGAATACTTCTGCAACCATGACGCCACTGTTATTCGCTCTACTCTTGTTCAAATCGTACTTTCTTTTACATTCTTGAAGTCACAGAGATCTTTACTGTCTTAGAACTTCTCATGTGGTATTATCTCTGTCTGCAAAGCTATTCGAACTGTTCTTCTAATTAACTCCTACTCATTTTCAAGTTCTCATTTTACATGTCACTTTCAGAGACAAGTATTCTCTGTCTTCAAATCCAAAGCAGCTATCATTTTAATTTATTGTGCTTATCACTGTTTATCATTAGAGTTAAATAAATTGTTTTAGTACCTTTTGATCCCACCGTGCTAGAATGAAGATAGAGCTAAAATATTTTAATCCACCATTATGCCCAGTGGTGGGTGCATTGCAGGCACTCCTAACCAATTCACATATTTTTTGCATTGATAAACAAGAGAATTGTGTTAAGGTTAGTGGCAAAACTTTGCAAACATGGAGTATTTGCCTTTTCCTGACTTTGTCAATCATACAACTCTCCTGGAAGGAAATTTCATAAATAAGGAGAGAAGTTGGTAGAGAAGGTTACTACACCAGGATTAGATTCTAGTTTGTTTCCTTTATTCACCTTGCTCATGTGAATATTAGATAACACCAGAAATAGTTTTAGTTCCCATATAAAATTCACAAAATGACACTTGTGGTGTGTTTTCCTTGGCATCATTAGACTCTGTATTTGTCAGAAGTAAACCTCATGGTTCCCACTTCTATCGTCTACAATGGGCAATAGGAAAGTCCAAGTATGGGCAGTGAGAGGGACTTGTGAGGCCCATTGACTGTGATGCCCCCTGAGAGAGTCTTGGCCTTGGGATGGCTGAGGATGTAGAAGCAGAAGTCTTCAAATTGTTCTCTGAATTCAGGGTTCAGATCTTCCTCCTGTAGCTGCTCCAGGCGGGTGAGGTACTTCCTCTGAGAAAGGTGGTCAAAGATGAAGCGCTTGTTCTCTGGGAAGAACTTTCGGATACATAACCGAGGTTCATTAAAGCTTTTAGTTCTTTTATCAGTACCTGGAGGAATGAAAATTCGAGGTAGTACAACTTCAGGCTGATTGCTTCAAATATATGACCCTTCAACTTAGTAATCTGCACAAATCCTATATTAAGAGGTAAATATTAACTAATCATGGATCAGACCAAAAAATTAAAGGGATAGAGAAATGAAATTTCTTTTCTTCTCCAAGAAGGAGGTAACTTAAAATTAGACCCAATTGATTCATCTAAAGAATGTTTCATTTCCTCTAACAGAACAGCCAGGATAACAAAGTTACGAAATTATAATTTTCAACACCTACATAGAAATGGTCATTGTGATACTGTTTTCTCTTTTTTTGTTAGCCAACCATCAGGCCCAGTAACCTTGCTTTAGCTTCAGTGAAAGCTTCTAGTACTCATCAGCAGTGATGGGTTGCCCATTTGCTTCCAGCTCCAGGGAGAAATCTCTCAGAGTCCACACAACGTCTGGAAAGAAGCTCACACAGTCAGCTGATTTTTGACCTCATGTTTACCAGGTGAGGATTTTGCCCTGATTCAATCTGTCAGTTCTGTCACATAGCTGAGATGCTAACATAGGAAAACTGCAGAAAAGGGGTAGCACCTTTTATGCTGTATTTTCTCCCAAAGCTTATCTAAAATAATTTTTCTTAATTAGTTTATTCATTCATTCCACAATTTATTGAGCAACTGCTCAATAGAACCAATAACATGGCAATGAGTGCGACAATTCTACCATACACATTCTAGTGAGGGAGATAGATGATAAATGAATAAACAAAAATATAATAAAATCTGAGTCTTGATAATAATTGTCTTGAAGGAAAATGAACCCAAGCTAAAGGTTAGAGAATAACTGTGTATGTCTGCATGTGGTACTGCTTTATGTAGTGGTTCAGGTAAATTCATCCTGAGATGATCATTGAGCAGAGATCTGAATGAACTGAGGGAGCCAGCCATGCACTAACTCATTGGAGGAACATTCCTGAAAGAGGAAATAGCTCCTGCAAACCCTCAGATAGGAAATCACTGAGTGTGTCAAACATATAGCAGGGAGACCAGCATGGCTAGGTCAGAAGTCCTAGAATGGATAGGGTCCAGACTACGTAAGCCCTGTAGGCCATAGAGAGTGTTTGAATTTTAATCTAAATTTAATGGGAAGCTATTGAGAAGCTTTGAGCTGAGAGGGAATATGACCTGATGTTTGTTTTTAAAAGATCATTCTGGCTGGTGTTGTATCTGTAAGAGACAAGAGTATAAGCAGAGAGAAGCATTAGGCAGTTAGGAGGTAACCCAGAGGAGAGAAGATGGAAGTTTAGACTGGAGTTATCACTGAGGAAGTGGTGGAAATTAGCCAGCCTGGGCAAATACCTATGACAGTGGAGCTGACAGGACTTGTGACTAATAGTTTGCAGGTTATAAAGAAAGGAATCATCCAAGATGAATCCTAAGTTTTTTGGTTTTTTTGTTTGTTTGTTTGCGGTACGCGGACCTCTCACTGTTGTGGCCTCTCCCGTTGCGGAGCACAGGCTCCGGACGCGCAGGCTCAGCGGCTATAGCTCACGGGCCCAGCCGCTCCGCGGCATGTGGGATCTTCCCGGACAGCGGCACGAACCTGTGTGCCCTGCATCGGCAGGTGGACTCTCAACCACTGCGCCACCAGGGAAGCCCTGTCTGTTGGTTTTTAAAGTCTCTAAGAATACAGTGAACTAGGAGCTAGAATATTTAACAGATGAAAGTGTGTTTACAGGGAAGTGGGTAGATGACTTCGCCAAAGGATAGTGTAGTCTCAGTACATGTGTTTCGAAGGAGTTTCTCTTTTTAATGGGAGAAGAATGAGAAAGTCTCTGGAAGCTGTGATAAGGAACAAGGAGGTTACCTAAGTTTCCTGGGACCTATGACATGCAAGGTGTGGGAGAAAAAATCACCACTTAAGACCACTTGAGAAGTCTGTGGGGGAAATAGTGTCCACAGAGTATAGATAGAACTCAGTCAGAAGGAACTATTTAGAGATGATGATAAGGATATAAAGATTTCCTGAATGACACATGAGTTCTAGAGGATGCTTAGGGTTTGGCAATGGAGATTTGTTGGGAGAGGTCATCAAACATGACTGCAGTTTTGACCCCTGAGCTGGACCCAGGCAGCTCACCCTCTCCCCTGTCCTTGGAACATGCACTCTGCTTGCCTTCCCCATGCTGGAAGTTGCACAAGGACACAGCCTTGAGATAGTAATTGGTGCTGAGACCATCTGGACTGTGTACTGACTGAGCCCAGGTAAGGTCTCTATAGAGACTTAAAATTTGGTGGGTAGGTGTGGAAATCTATTTGTCTTCCAGCCACCTAAGACAACACTTCTAAGTAAATTCCCTTGCTTATTAAACCTGCCACCTGCCAGTCTGATCTGCCATTTTCTTTGGTCTCTCCCTGCCCTCCGGGTACTAAGGTCAGTTTCAGATTACACCCAGGAAGCTCCTGAGGAGATTGTAACCCAACAGGATTAAGTCAGATAGGGGTTGTACAGAGCCTTGTGCAGCTAAGTGTCTAAGGATAATGTGTGACCAGAAAGGCTTGGGCTTCTGGCAGTGATTGAGGTAGACTGGGATGGTGAGCATAATGGGATTCATTAAAGAAGGGACTCCTGAATTCTTCTGCAGTTGCCCACGAATGTAACTGGTGACAAAATAAAGCTGTTCTTTCCTTGATTTCATGTTGTCTGGATCACAAAATGGATTCTGCAGCTGGTCCATGGCCTACTGGTTGATGTTTCCCATGCTGTTGTATAAAAAGGTGCTGCTCAGGAGAACGGCCAGGGCAAAAATCCAGGAGTCATTCTGGTTGTCTCCCTAGAAGTCATTGTAGAAACCACATAGAGTAACTTAGAGCACATGATTTCAATTCAGATGGACGGAGACTGATCCCAGATGTCTCTATTTAACTCCGGAAACTTAGATTAGTCATTTCCCTATGCAAATTTTTATCCATCTGTACATGAATTTATATAAAAACCTTAAATTCATGGTGTAGTGAAATTTAAATTAGGCATTGTACATAACTGCATACGAGAGTGTAAGCAAATAAGCACTAGATAGTGGTGGCTATTATGATCATGTAATAGAATTCAAACCTATCTCCTGAACTGAGATTGTGATCCTATTTCTGTTCTCATGACATGTCATGGTGTGGAACTTTTTAGACAATAGTTAAAATATGCCCCTTTAGCAAGAGTAATAATGTATTACAAAGAAGTTGTCATCAGACCTTATACTTTGCTTCTCTTACAAACAGCACAGCTGTGAATAACACCATTCCCACCACCTTTCTGGGTTCTCATTCTGAAAAGTCAGATATGTTTGTAAACTATCAGATTTAGAGGCCCCTTCAGTAGCCTCACCAAGACATTTTCCTACAATATGAAAGAAAAATGACTTAAAAAGTCATTAGCCATTATTTTATGGGTTTCAAACCTACGAATGGGCCTTCCTGACCACTCTCAATGCTTATATGTGTGGCCAAGGTATGCAACAATTCTTAATTTAGCCCATCATTCTCATACTCAGTGTTTACTTTTCTCACATAAGGCTCACTTTGGTTTGCTTCAAATTGGATCTGAGATCAAATCTTGAGCACAGCCAAGTAAATAAATGAAAATAATACATTAGTATGATACACTTGAAGCACAAATCAAGGAGTGGGAAATGATAGTGCAAAGAGGGCTATTGATCTGACATAAATACGATTTAAAAGATTTATTTTTTACCTTCTCTACATCCCCCAGGCCCTCAGTGTCAAGCAGAACTAGAGTATGTTCTGGCTTCTTGGGATGAGGCACACACCACATCCAGATGCCCTTTGTGTGAGACTGCACCGTGGAGTCCAGAGAAAAACCTGCAAGGGGGCATGGGGTTAAGAAAGGGTGGAGTTTTAATAGCAGATGGATCTTGAAATTGAGATAATAGTCAACAAAATCAAGGTTTAAAGAGACAGATGAAAACATAATCAATATTGATCTTAACTGCAACCAGAAAAAGAGAGAAATTAGAACATTCAGTACAAACTGAAATATTTATTTTACCTTAAAAATCAGTATAATCTTGATGTTAATCCACATATATTTTAGTAAATGTTTTATTGTTTATTATTATCTGTATTAATTTTCTTTATTACTACCTTACTCCTTCCAGAAAGGCATAAAACTCAGTATAAAACTTTAAAGAGAAAATTAAGGCAAAGTGGTAAGGAAGAGTTGACTCTTATCTTCTAGCACAGAGTAAATGTAAGAAGCCCATCACTGTATTGAAAGTTAGCTTTCAATATTCCTCCCAGGTCTCTAACTTCCTCTTTTCGCATCACTGAACTTGATGCTGGGAGTGTAGGTGGACAGAAGGGACTCGGCTGGGCTTTGCTAGTGCCACTCACCCTTTTTCTTCCCAGCCAGCTTGTTCATCAGGTAGGATTTGCCTGTGCGGTAGAGGTCCACGATAGCCACCACCAGAATGGGCTGCTTAATGGCAGACAGGATCTTCACAATTTCTGGATTAACTGACATTCACTCATTAATGTTCTCAATAAGGCACTCTGGGCCTGGCATGTGGATCTCTGAGGCCATGTGCAGAGTGCCACCTGATCTGCAAGGGAAGAGATGGGATGGATAGCAATGTCTAGTCAGCTGGCTGATTGAGAACTTTGCAGTTAGGACTAAAATTTGGTTTTCTCCTTGAACTTTGTTCCTTGTATGTTTTAAAAAGTCTCGTGGCCTATTTAAACCTGTCCTATAGACTAGTCCACTTGTTCTTTTCAAAAATAACTTGATTTTGAAGGAGCTTAGCCTTACACAAATTCTTACATACATTGGATACAGAGTTTCCATATTCCATTTCCCCAGCTTCTCCTAATATTAATATCTTATTTAACCATAGACAATGGTTGAAACAGGATTTTAACATTGATACAATACTATTAACTAATCCACACACCTTTTTCCCATGTCACCTGTTTTCCCCCTGATGTCCTTTTCTGATCCAGGATCCAATTCAGGACCCTTCATTGCATTCAGTCATTACCTGTCCTTAGTCTTCTCTCATCATTGACAGGTTCTCATTTTTATTTTGTCTTTCATGACCTTGTCATTTTAGAAGAGTACTGGCCTGTCATTTTGCAAAATATCCCTCCATTTGGGTTTTTCTCATGATTCCTCATGATTAGGTTGAGGTTATGGGCTTTTGGCAAGAATACTGTGGATGCAATGTTCTGCCAGTCTCAGTGTATCATATCAAGGGATGCATGATGTCCATAGAACACACTCTGGTGCTGTGATGTTAACTTTGATCACTTGATTTATGTGGTGTCTTCCAGATTTCTCCACTGTAAAGTTACTATTACCTCCTTGTAATTAAAAAGTACCATTCAGGGAGATATTTTGAGACTGTGCAAATATATTCTCCTCAAAGTTTCATATCATTTTTCAATGCTAATTTTAGCATCCACTAATAGTGATTCTTGCTTGTAACAATTATTACTGTAGTGCTTGTCCGTAGGTGATTTGTACTTGCACCATTCCTTCAACATTTACTAACTGAGGTTCTATTGTAAACAAGAGCTGTCCCTTCTCCTCTATTTATTTTTTTACTCATTCAATTATTTAGTTGTATCAGTATAGACTCACAGATATTTATTTTATTTTATTCTAGGGGGTTTAATACTTTACTATCATTATGTACTTTTTGCTTAATTTGTGCCAGATTTGTTCACTGAGAACTCCTTTAGCTTGGCTCCTGGGTCTTTTGGGCATGCTTCCATCATATTCTGAGCACTTCCTTACTTTGTGGCACCACAGGGCATTCCT